AGAGCTGCTGCTTGGGCCTGATGTTCCTGTCTGTCGGCACACCTACATAATGCATCATGCAAAGAGATATGAGAGGTTCAGAGGGCGGGTTTGACTCCTCGTAGGTGTCTAAAAAGCTTTATTCGTTTTGTAGTCAGTCTGAAACCAGCGAACCAGACACGAAACACCGGATATCTCTGCCTAAACTTAAAGATCATTGTTGCATGTTACATACGTGTCATCTACATGTTTTTCTCTGTGTTAATATTATTATTACTAAATTGCACTTGCTCTACTCTTGTTCACTCGTGTCTAAGATATATGCATTGCATGAATGCACACTGCCATCTATTGGCAGGCTACTGGCACCACTTTTCCCATAAACAACATCTCATTATTTTCAGTTTGAGCTGTTGTTTCTGATTCAGTTCATTTCTGCAGAGCACGCAGGTTGATTTCCGAGGAATGGGTATTTCTATTCTGGAATCATGAGTCACAGTTTAGCCCTGATAATATTCCACTTATTAAAAGTCGGTCAAGTATTGTGTGCACGATAAGTGTAAATGTAAACATTTCAGTTTCACTCCTTCAGTATTTAAGTAAGTATACCCACTTAGACAGTTAAATATCATTATCAGATAATTTTGGATTTAAAAAAAGCTAAATAGAACTTGCAAAGTGGCTTCTGACCCTCTTTCAGCATTTTTATCATCACAAATTAACTTCCTCTGAGTCTCCAAACACCTCAGTGTTTGTGCCCGCTGTTGAACAGATGCAACATCCTTATAGGTTTTGTTTGAAACTGAAAATGAGGTTTTTAAAAATGTTGCCTTGATCCCAAAACTACTTTTTTTATTTTGTTTTTATTTATTTACTTTACCAAAAAACAACAGCATTAGCTTTCCATTAATTATTTCAATGGACGTAATTTAGCTTTCAGCCATTAGAGGGCACTGTTGTTCCACGTACTGTACCACAGCAGTCCCATGGTGCAACTACAACAGCGCCTGAGGGGCTTTTACAAATGAAAACCACAGCAAATGAGTGGAGAGCCAGCAACGAGGGGCTTAAGTACTACAAAATCTATTAGAGTCATATGTTCCTATTGCAAATTTCAGACAGTGTATCCAGATTTACTTTGAGTAAAAATACGACACACACACTAAAAGAAAAAGAAACAAAAGCTTCATTGAAATAATTTCTTTACTAATAACAAAGAAGCATTACAGACAAAATGAACACAAAGTGTGTACATAAGGCATTTACGATGCAGAAATTACCAGTATAACCAGCTGTATAACCAATGGAGGGGCTAAATTCAACAATTGTTGCTTACATTTATGTATTTGATTTGAATATTTATTTATTTTGGGTTGGGGGAGGGCATTGAGTGTTTTTTCCCCCTTTTTTGGAGCAAAGTTTTTTTTTTTAAACTAAAATGTTTTGTGGGGTTCTTTGAAAAGGATCGTGTCTACCTGCATAAAGGATCACATAAAAAACATTTAAAATATTCCTGTGGACCTGAAAGTCACTGGGGGTTTCTTTCCCAGCATATCATGGGG